GTGATAGAATCGCTGGGGCCTCCAACCATACCCGTTCTGTTTCTTTGTTAGGGTTAACCAGATAACCCTGTTCTTTCTCATCCACCAACTGCCTAGCTTTTGTTTCCCATGCCCTAGTATTGTTTTTCATGACTGATACTTGGTTATCTTTTATTAATTTAGTTAAAAATCATTATTCCCAAAAAATGTTTCTGTAACTGCTTAAAACGTGTTAACTGGAGTTGGGTTTTAATTTGTTAGTCACTTATGTAAAGTAAATCTACTTCCATCTAATACTACCATACCAACAGGTTGATAATGTTGCTGTCCAAAGGTAGCTTTATTGCTCATTGATTGAAGCCACCCTAAAATAGAAACTGATTTACTGGCTCAACCACCAGGTCAAAAGAAAAAAAAAGGGTAAAAAAAAAGGTAAAAAAAAAAATGAACACAGGCATCACATCTAAGGATTGATAAGCTGCAATACATAATTTTTTTCAATGTTGATTCACTTTTAACTACAGCAAAGATGGGTGATGTCTCCAACTAGTCACAGTGAATAGTGCATAAGACTGGCAGAACAGAAATATTATTTTATTTTTGCCAGGTAATATAGCTTTTATATTGCTATTTCCATTGAGTTTAGGTATATGCCAGTCCAACTTCCACCCTATAATGATCTCTTTTTACAGCAAGCCTGAAGTGTTTTTTTGAGAAAAAAAAGTGTGGAAAACATATTTGTTTACTATAGACAGGTCTTAAAAAAGAAAAAAATGCTGTGGGTAAAAAGCCAAGGTACCTAGATTATCAGGCACCTAGAAAACTTTTTAAAATATAAGCTTACTGACATTTAGCGACAAAACTCCATTACTGTCATTCTGCTAGGCTCTAAAAATACTCTTAGGCCAAGAGGTTGATATCATTTTAATTAGTCATAACAGTAAGGAGACTCTCTATTACTTGTCACTTTGATAAATTCAATCTTTAAAAAATGTAGTTGATTGATCTAGAATGACTTTGCGTTGTTTAACTGCATAACAAGGAAGATTTTGCTTAGGACATGCATATTCTGACATAGACATGTATTTTTCCTAACTGACCTGTAATGAGCTGATTTATGTGAATGTCACATATAACATTACCGAGTTTGATAAACCATGTGTGATGCAGGTCATACAGTAGTTCACTCTGCTTACCGCTAGCAAAAGGTCTGTAGCATTTGGGTGTGAGACATGATCTACATTAATAGCTGTGTTAGAATTGGCAAATATAAAGGTTCACACAACTATAACTGGTAAGACTGTGAACAATAAAGGCTGTTCACTGAGTATTTGAGATAAGAATTCCATGAAATTCAAATTGCATAAATGCAAAATACCATAAAAATGATGATGGATGACACACTTTCATATATGAAGGCAAAACACCTCATATGTATGTTCTATTAACTGATCAGTCAGAAAACAGTGGCAATGCAAAGGGCAATTTTGTTGTGCATGAATCTTTAGAAACAAATCAAATTTCAATGTTACCAATTTAGAGCAGTCAATAAGAATCAATTCTGACTGGATGCAATGGATTACAGAACTTCACATACTGTCATAACTTTTTAAATGAGAGCTATTTAACTTGGTGTTACTCAAAGTATGTTGCATGTATTACAGGTAATACTTACTATAACTGTAGGTGGCTGCGAGGCTCTAGAATTCTGTGCAAAACTGGCCTGTGGATATATTTTTACTCTAGTGTGAGTAATAGTAACTGTGGATACTCAAACACCAAAAGATTGTGACAGTTGCTGTGTAGCAGACTGAAGTTTAGAAAACACTGATTAGCTTCTTTGCATCTCATTAACAAATATGCCATGTAATAATATCAGGACTTTCTACTTTACTAAAGTCTACTTTTGAAATGTATCATGCTGATGCTGCAGCAATTTTAAGATGCAAAGTAATATAACGATATGCACATGTTTCACACACAATAATTACATGTATTCAGATACTGTGCATCATATTTGAAAGATGAACAGTTGAAAAGATTTTAAACAACAGACCAACGTATTTGTATAATTTTTTAAGATTTATGGATCCATGGCATTGCCACATCTCTCTGTGGCAAAGATTGTGGAGACAGTTCGTGACAAAAATTACTTATAGAGGGTTATAAAAACTGAGCAGATAAATATTACAGGGGTAGTTTTACAGTGTATTGAAGAACATGGAGAGGGGAGGTGTCTTTGGGAAGCTACTAATATATTCACTTGAAGACCAGGCTTTTTCTGGCACTTTTTGTTTACATGTAAAAAATAAGTATTTTTTGCTAGAAAATTACTTTGAACCCCCAAATATTATATATTTTTTAAAGCAGAGGTCCTAGAGAAAAACGTTTTTTTATGTGACATGGTTTTCGAACACAATTGTTTTGGAAAAAAATACACTTTTTTAATTTAAATGCAAAAGAACACAATACATATTCCAATTTTTTTGTAAAATATAAAGGATGATTTTATGCATAGTAAATAGATACCAGACATGACACGCTTTAAAAGTCCATGCAGTGGCGACAAACCACGAAAATGTTACTATCTATAGGTAACACTTTAACCACTTGCTAACCGCGCCATAGCTGAATGACGGCTACAGCGTAGTTATCCAGTTCTGGGAGGGCGTCATATGACATCCTCCCAGAACGTGCCCCCAGGGGCACGCACCCGGCGATCTCTGTGATCGATGTGTCCTACGGACACAGCTGATCATGTGATGAGGTAAAAGGCCAATCACAGTGGCCTTTTACCATGTGATCAGCTGTGTCCAATGACACAGCAGATCACGTAGAAAATACAGTTGCTGTTATTGGCAGCACCTGATGATAAGTGCCTTACAGTGCCGCCCAGCAGTGCCACCTACCAGTGCCCAACAGTGCCACCCATCAGCACCCTTCAGTGCCCAGCAGTGCCACCCATCTTCGACCCCCAGCAGTGCCACCCATCAGTGCTGCCCAGCAGTTGCCCCCCATCGGTGCCCATCAGTGCCACCCATCAGTGCCTGCAAGCAGTTGCCTCCATCAGTGCCCAGTAGTGCTGCCAGTCAGTGCCATCAGTCAGCACCACCCATCAGTGCCGCCTATCAGTGCCCATCAGTACTGCCTATCAGTGACCATCATTGCTGCATATCAGTGCATCATTATCAGTGCCTCCTCACCAATGCCCACCAGTGCTGCTTCATCAGTGCCCATCAGTGCAGCCTATCAGTGCCCATCAGTGCTGCCTATCCATGCCACATGATCAGTGGGTATCATTGCTCATCAGTGCAGTCTCATGAAGGAAAAAAATTACCTGTCTGCAAAATTTTGTAATAGAAGCAAAGAAAACCTTTTGCTCTTTTTTGTTTATAGCGCAAAAAAAAAACACCCAGTGGAGATTAAATACCACCAAAAGAAAACTCTATTTGTGTGAAAAAAATGATAAAAATGTCATATGAGTACAATGTTGCATGACCGTGCAATTGTCATTCAAAGTGAGACAATGCTGAAAGCTGAAAATTGGCCTGGGCAGGAAGGGGGTAAAAGTGCCCGGTAGGCAAGTGGTTAAAAGCCTTTACATGTTACCACTTTAGATTTACACAGGAGGTCTGTTGCTAGAATTACTGCCCATGAGCTGACGTTCACTGTGATACCTCACATGTGTGGGACTATTCCTGTTTGCGTGCATGCATGACAGACGCATGTGTTCACCTTTGCGTTTATTATTATTAATAATTTTTATTTTATGTTTTTTTATTTTTACACTTTTTTTTATCACTTTTATTGCTGTTACAAGGAAACATCCTTTGTGACAGAAATAGACATGTGACAGGTACTCTTCATGGCGGGATTTGGGGTCTATAAGATCCCAAATTCCTCCTCTGCACTTAAAAGCATTCAAACACCAAGATTAGTGTTTTTGAATGCATTCTTTTTTTTAAAGTGGCATAGTTTAGTTGGGAGTAAACTGGAAGTGATGTCAGGTCATTGTTTCTGCTTTACTATAACGGAGAACCGTTCAAAGCCGATCATGGCTTTGTTCAGCTATTCGGCCAACTGGTGGAAGTGCCAGCTGGTCTCTAGGGTCTTCCAGTGGGATGGGAAAGCCACAGAAAGCGACAAAAAGCAGTCGAACGGTTAGCTGCTCCAAATGCCAATACAAGCACTTGAAGTCTAGGGACCTACCAGGTACATGACTGGTGGCAAGTGGATATTGAAGGAAAGCTCACACCCTGAAAATGCTTTGTTTACAGTAATACCTTCTGGAAGGCGGTTTATGAGTATTCCCCCCCCCCCCCTCTTAGCACAAAGATGCAAAATAACTTTTTCCAGGGTCTGTTTTTGAATGCTGGAGGTGTTTAAATTGTGAGGTATGTGATGTCCTTTGCAAGAGGGCTATATCTATGTTTCATTTTATGATTTTTTTTTTAAATTATAAAATAGTAATACATTTTATGATTCTGATTCTGATGGGTGTCTGAGGTTGTGTGCTGAGAGTGAGTTTACGGTACACTCCCAGTACACCAAGTGAGCAACAACTCTCAGTCTCTGTTTGTGATCAGGACAATATCCCACTCTTTGGGAATACAACTGATCTCTACATGAGTCTTAAAACTTTCAGTTCCATCAAAAATACAGGAAAAAAAAACAATCCATTTGCACAGCTGGATGACTGAAGAGTCCAGGCTTTATATTACATTCCGTGGCCACAACCAAAAAGAGATGCGTTCCTAAAAACAGTTATAATATGCAAAATGTTTTTTGCTCTCACATGTAAGAAAAGTGTACATGGGTAAACACAGAAAGGAGCCCAGCAAACTGAAATAAAGAGGAGCTTGGCTGCATCCAACAATCGTTAGAAACTCCCTCCAGTGCAAGTAAAATGCAGCAGCTGTCCTCAAACACTCCTAGGCTCCTGTCTATTGCAGCAGCTTTATAAATTGAGTCACATATCAAACATGTATGGAAAGTCCAGTTGTACTGCCCATTCTGCCCAGGACTGGCATGCATGCTCTTTCCATGCAAGAAAGCAGGTATTTGTACAGGGACATGTAACTGGGAATCAGGGGCGGACTGACCAGTTGGAAACTCGGGCACTGCCCAAGGGCCTGGGGTCAGTAGGGGGCCCCATGAGATGCCCCTGGTACCTTTTTCATAGGCTTTTTTGAGTTTGGGCAAGGACACAGGGGCCCCATGATCCCCTATTGCCCGGGGGCCCCATGAGTTGTCAGTCTGCCCCTGTTGGGAATAACTAAATAATGGTTGTGTGCTAGTGCTGAGTCCTGGGATGTAAGCCTTGCGAACCTGAGCAATATAAATTAGGCTGGCGAATGATTCAGTTTACCATATTGTGAAGGTGGAGGGGGGAAAAGGTCTTGATGATAAGGCTCTTAGTTCATTTAGTAAAAAGAAATGCTAGTAACAAGACTGAGTGCTTTATGTCATCTCTATTTTTAAAACTAAAAGGATTCTACTATATGTTTTGACATCTTAGACTTAGACTGCAATTTAATAGCAGTGACCATGCACAAGAATTTGGAGAGGACTGCCTCTCTACTTCTCTGAGTGCTCTATGTCATTTCTTTTTTTTTAATACAATTTGAATTCTGTCATCTGCATTAGCACCTCAGACTTAAGGGTTAATAATAATGGAGAACAAATACAGCTATAGGCTCTCAGGTATACTCTGCAGTAATATTCTATTCTGTAACTGTAACTCTTACCCCTGAAGGAGATGCTGATTTATGGGTCCCCTGGTTACAGGTGACAATGATCTTTCCAGCAAAGCCAGACCCTTTGACACACTAAATGAGGTTAAATGAGGAATGTTTATTTGTGAAAAACTACAAACAATGCAATAAAAACTGGGGGGTTGATTTACTCTGCTTGCTGATTTCTATCATTCATTCATTAAAATGTGCAAGCAAAAATGTTTTTCTTTTTTATATTTTCCTTGCATGTGATTAGGTATTCTTTGCAAAGTGAAGCTTTGCCTCATTTACTAAGCTCTGGAGAAAGTGCACAATATATTTGCCTTCAAACAACCCCAGTATACCAAAAGCAATAAACATTAACAGATTGAAATAAACATTAACAGGTTAATTTGTAAAACTCCATATACAATAACCAAGTGTCTGCACCTGAATCCTGAAACTAGGCAGGTCCTTACTTAAGGGGTGGTACCGGAAGCTAAAGGCCCTTCAGTCTTTTCTAAACCCCTTCCACTGGCCAGTGTAATTTAACTGTTGAGGCCCAATTTCCAGCATTGCTCAGCTTTAAACAGTTCCCACAGTACATGACGTAAGTACCCAAACCATATCCTAAGGTAAGATGAAACTGTCCCTTTCGTAAGTGGGCAACAAAGTTGTGACCAGTGGCCTCTTAGCACCAGGCAGTCTATCTAGCATCCAAAACCAGTGCCATCAGCAGCGATTTAGAACCTGACATTAAGATTTTCTCATGGAACTGGTGATTTCAGCAACAGTTCAGGACCTGGAAAGGACAATCTTTCACAGAAACAATGATGCTCTCTGACAGCTGTGACCTCTATGTAGATGTGACAGCCCAGTTTCTTCAGCTCTCTGACACTACACCAGGCAGCTCTAAAGCACAGCAGCAAACTCTGATGGTCACATCTCACTTTCCTTCACAAGGGTCCCCAAGCCCTGGCTTTTGCTCCCTTTTCCTCCTCTGTCTAGCACACAGTCTATGTGCTTTGTAGTCCCACACAGGTCTACAAAACTGAGTTCAGTCTCTCTGGGGACTACTTCCACCCAGGGGCGGACTGACCATTTAGTACCTTTTTCAAAGGCTTTTTTGAGTTTGGGCAAGGACACAGGGGCCCTATGACCCCCTATTGCCCGGGGGGCACTATGAGTTGTCAGTCCGCCCCTGCCTCCACCACAAGTATTTGCTCCTTCCAGCAGTTCTCATGCAATGAGGTGTATCTGTTCCACCCCAGACTGAACTGCAGTCAATCACAATGTTCTCTGTATCCTGAACTGTGACCAGGCTGTTCTACAGCAGCTTTGGTTGCAAATGCAGCCCTGTGGAAGTGCCTGTGTCCCCTCCCCTCTCTCTTGCTGGGAAGAGGGGAATGACAGCTGTAATGTGAGGGCAGCAGTAGCAGCCTGGTACATGTAGTTCTAGTTCTAGGAATGTCAAGGGGCTACATAACCCATCCATGCAATGCTGGTGTTGAGTCTGTGTCACTTCATGGAGTTCAACAGGGAGAACTCCATGATTGAAAGAGAACCAGTCACATGTGCTTCAACGGTTCACATAACAAAGCTATCTTTCTGTTTTTTTTAACCACTCCCATTCTTTCGGCAGAGCACTCAGCACATTTATGAAGCACACTGCTTTATGTACACATCTTCCACTCCCAGGTTACAAAATAATTAGTTCATTTTCAGAGGAATTTAACGTTTTCTGAAAAAATCTCTATTTTCGACTATGGGATACAAATGCCCATGGATTTTATTTTTCATTAATTAATTCATTAATTCATTCATTGTCTTATCCTCCAGTCCCCATTCTTACATAAGCAATGCTGCATGTTTCTCAGGTCAATTCAAATTGCAGTACAGCAGGCTGCATTTAAAAAAAAAAAAATACAAGTACATTTAAGATATTTCTATATTAACGTACAAAAATATATGGTCCACTATAAATTAAGTTATTTTCTGGCTTTTTGTTGTAGTTGATTTGCAATGGAATTTACCCATTTTTTGACAGTGTGTTTTGAAGATTTTTCAGTCATTTGTTTATTTAATCATTTTCAAATCTGCATTTATGACTTTGGTGAATTTTTCAAACGTACTGCATTGCGGTATGCTTTATCCAAAAGAGAGAATGGAAATAGATATTTTTAAGATTCGCATCTATATTTACATGTTAGAGTGTATAGGGAAAAAAAATTGTGTTGTCTGTGTGGGTTTTTGCTGCAGTTCCTTGTCATTGCAGACATGCTGCATTCCACTGTGTTTTTCAACAGGAATTTTGAAGACACTTGTCTTATAATTTTCTACATATTGTTGCTGCATGTTCCTTAGACAAAATTGTAGGACACTAAACTTTATACTTTTTTTTTAATTTATCAGTTGTTGGCACATTCCTCTGTGTGTTTACAATGGATTTCAGATTGGGTTAAATGAATTTATTTCTGCAGTTGTTGCTCAGTGCCCTCCTGTGCTTTTGCCATTACACTTTGATGTTTTTGATAGACGTGAGCATTAATGAAACAGTGTAGTGTATGTAGTACACTGTCACAGTGGGTACAATTGGCTTTAGCAGTATCCATATAATTTTGCAGGCCATGTTTGACATTGGGAATTGAAAAAAAAAGTAACGCTTGCAGAAATTCTGTCCATCTTATATAAAAATATCAGTGTTCTACCATGTTAATCATTGATAAATTAAGAGAATTTGACATTTAACCCCTTCACGCCGAGGGGGTAAAACAAATCTAAATGCCTTAGCACAATTCTGCAACGTTGACATGTGTTAGTAAAACTGTACATATCATCACAACTACTTTGTGCATCCAGGTGGATTATACCTTGTTCTTTTCAGGACAATTTGGGCTTTCATTTGGTGGTAAATGGTAATGGATAGCTCCTAATTTTTTTTATTATCATAGGAAAACTGGCCCAAAATAGTAAAAAAAAAATAGTTTTTTTTTATTTAGCTGTGTGTTTCTTGTTACAACCATAACCTACCTCCATAGAACAACCCAAAATAAATTTTCCAGATCATGACAATGGCAGCAATACTATATATGTGTATGTTATTTGTACACGTAGTACAGCCCAGAAACAATAGTGCACATTTTGTTTTTTTTCTTTTTTTTTTACCTAAAACACACTGACACTGACATTAATGCTAACTGACACTGATACCAATTCTTTTTAAATCCTGACCTTTGACTCTGACCTTTGACCTTGAACTTTGACCCTGACCTTGACCCAAACACTAACCCTGGCACTGAACTAGATCAAACCTTGATCTAGATATTTTTCTTTATTTTTTTTTTTATTTTTTAATATTTATTTATTTATCTTCTTTTTTTTTTTTTTTTTTTTTTACAAACTTTTTTTTATCTCTCTATGTCAGGAGTTAGAGAGATACAATGTATCTCTCTTCTCCATTCATAGAGAGAGAAAAAACAAGGGGGCCGGGCTGCATAGTGACTGATCACTGTGATAGCCAATCAGAGGCTATCACAGCGATCACATGACCCGGAATAGGGAGTCCTGGGTCCTGATCGTTAGAACGGGACCTGGGGCTCTCAGTGACACCACGGTCTCTGTGCTGGGGGAGCGCCGAGTGGTGCGCTCCCAGCACAAAGACAGGTACGCAAATATGAAGCCCCACGGAAAAAAGCCCAGTTCCGTGAGGCCGCATATTTGTGTGCCGTTGGCGTCAAGGGGTTAAATTATATCCTTTTTTTGGCTAACCTAACATGTTTGTGAAGCCAAAACATATATCTTAGTTTTGGATAGAGTTGGGTAAGTGTTAAAACGCCTGTCAGGTTATTTTTTGCTACCTCCCTGTGGAGAGATTACTCTTCACCTTATTGCAAGATGAAATGGGTGGAAATGTGAAAAGGTGGACAGAATTCAAATCTTCAAAAGTTGTCACAGAAAAGGTATCCCTAGTGGAGGTTTCCCCCTTACCTCTTGCTCTGGTGACAACTGAAAAGCTTGGACTTCTCACTTCCTGTATCAGTAACAATTTCCACCCAGACAATCTCCCCAGAAGGAACACAGACAGCTAGATCCAAAACTACGAAAATGTTCCTTTCCATAAAGTTTATGTTATTAAGCCTTTGTAACACGCTAGGTTTTTTTTTTAGTTAGCAATTATATATTATTCACACTTAAACATAGAATAACAGAGAAACAAGGAATTAGAACTGTTTTCCCCTAACACATGCAATGGCTTTTGGAAAATGCTAGGATGCATAGATAATGATAAAGGATTAGGCTGGCCATATATGAGTAGAAAGCAAGAAATTAAACCAATAAAGCATTCTCTCAATCTAACATTTGATGGACCAATCATTGTATCAGAAAATTTCCAGCAATGTTTGACATTTTTCTGATAGTTTTCAGCATTACACTTTTTTTTGTCTGATCAATTTCTACTATTATCCTTATTGTTCATGCACATTTCACTTGTTTTTTTTTTATTTTTTTGTAAGATTGACCTAAAATGATTAAAACATTGCTTCTTCTTCTTCTAAAAAAAAAACAAGTTTGTTCACTCATTTTTGATCTTGAAATGAAAATCATCTCAGTAAGCACACTAATCATATGACAATTGAAGGATCGGTCTACTGACTCAATTGTTTGTTTTTCCATCCATATATGACCAGGTTTAGAGTGATATAGAGGGAATTGACAAGTTTTTGAGGTAAGAAATATAGGCACATTTCACACTTCAGAATGAGCTGGTGAGAGTAAAAGTTATTTTGAAATGTCTATTTACCTTTGATCACAGGACTGGAGGAAAAGAAACGCATTTACAGTCATGTCTTGGTTGACTACATCAAGTTTTACAAATATTTCTGGCAATCTGCATTATATTAAAAACTTTTCCTTCCAAGACTCCTGGTTTGTTAATAGAAATTTAAGCACTACTACTACTTACTAATTTGTTTTAAACACCAGTCGTATTTGTCTGTTTTATAGGTACTAAATCCTAACACTGACGTACAAAGCTGTCCACCATACTGCCCCGAACTACATCACTGACCTAATATCCAAGTACCGCCCAGCACGCACACTCCGCTCCTCACAAGACCTCCTTCTCTCTAGTTCCCTGGTCTCCTCCTCCCATGCCCGCCTCCAGGACTTCTCCAGGGTGTCACCCATCCTCTGGAACTCCCTGCCCCAACCCATCAGATTATCACCTACTCTCCTCTCCTTCAGGGAAGCCTACCCCACCCCCTGCTAACTTGCCGACCTCCTCCACTCTTCCTACCACTGCATCCCCCACAGCTATCTCATCCTGTGCCACCACCCCCTCCCTCCTAGATTGTAAGCTCGAAAGAGCAGGGCCCTCGATCCCCTCATGTTTTGCATTGTATTGGTATTGTTCTGTCACATGTTCTGTCCCCCTTTGTAATGTACAGCGCTGAGCGAACTATTGGCGCTTTATAAATACTGTATAATAATAATAATAATAATAATAGGTACAGACAGTGAAAGCATGCCACTAGCAAGGCCCAAAACCTAGACCATAAGACTTTATTGCTTTTAAAGTGGCTTTGAAAGAAAAAGAATCTTACATATTGTTACTGATCTGCTGAATTTTGACAGGCTATGAGGCCCAATATACAGAATATCACTGGGTGTTTAGGTTTAGAGCTTCATTTAAAGGCTACAGTATGTTCATATATTTGATTTGCTGGAATGTATGCAGGAACAGAGGTGGGGTGCATTGCAATGCCATCCATTTTGAATGGCACTCTAATGCACATCCTCAATTCGCTGCAACGGACCTGTGTTTTAGTACATAACATCTCACAAATGTAAACTATCTGTTTGTTGTGTTGTGTTGTGGTGCACGTAAAAAAGGATAATGTGTACATTTATGTCTATTTTGTCAATCCAGTCAAAAACATAACACAGGATAATGTGCTAGCACCTTAGTCTACACATGTAACAACTACATGTTTGTTGTAGATATTTGTATATATATATATATATATATATATATATATACACACACATTCTTCATTTCCAGTATTTTTTCACAACACACGCAAATACTGTATGTGTTGATGTATTTCTTTTGGAAATACAAAATGCATTTATACCTATTACTATTTTGAAACAGACTAAGTTTGTCAAAGCTTATATGAACAATGTAAAGTTAGAAGCCGATTGGCTACCATGCACAGCTGCACCAGATCTGGCACTCTCTAGTTTTAGTATATCAACCCATAAGTGAACTGCTTGTTTATTAATACAAATAATCTACTTGAGGCTACGAATTAAATAGCTGGAGTCATGTTTGCTAATATATGAATGTATGTATGTGAGTTAGGGACCTTAGATTGTACGCCCCTTGAGGGTTAGGGACTGATGTGAATGTACAATATATATGTAAAGCGCTGTGTAAATTAATGGGCTATATAAATACCTGTAATAAATAAATAATAAAAATTACTTCTCACTATACAAGAATGAGGTGTCAGGCTTCCCAGATAGCTGGGATGATTCATCACTGTTCTCATGATCATTGACACTCCACGAGGTGAGATCTTGCATGGTGCACCAGACCTAGGGAGACTGACAGTTGTTTTCTGTTTCTTCCATTTGTGAATGATTACACCACTGTTGTCACCTTCTCACCAAGCTGCTTGGCGATAGTTTGGTAGCCCAGTACAGCCTTGGCTAGGTCTACAATCTTGTCCCTGACATCCTTGGACAGCTCTTTGGCCTTTGCCATGGTGGAGAGTTTTGAATCTGATTGTTTGATTGCTCCTGTGGACAGGTGTCTTTTATACAGGTAACACAATGAGATTAGCAGCACTCTCTTTAAGAGACTGCTTCTAATCTCAGCTTGTTACCTATATGAAAGACAGCTGGATGCCAAAAATCCTGCTGAATGATAGGGCAAATACTTATTTCCCTCATGAACATGCAAATCAGTGCATAATTTGTTAGACATGCATTTCTTTTGAATTTTTTGTTGCTATTCTGTCTCTCAGTGTTACAATACACCTACCATTCGATTTTCAGACTGATCATTTCTTTGTGAGTGGGCAAACATTCAAAATCAGCAGGGGATAAAATACTTATTTCCTTCACTGTACAGTATATTCCCTTTTACCATTATGCCGTTTTAATAACTAATTTTATCTGAAAATCACTTTAGTCTACCTGCAAATCAGTCTTTAGAAACGTCAAGCAAAGGTTCATTGGTGATGGAGGTATAGATCAAACTATTAGTTAGCACTAAACATAACAGGAGTAGCAAAAGCAACAGGCTGTGCAAATGGAGATCATCAAAATGCTGACTTTCTTTTTGCATTTTTTTTATTTATAATCATTTTTCAGATAGTACAAGCAGAAAATAATTAAAGTACAACAGGTGTTAGAGTCACCCTGATGTGACTTAAAAATATGCAGTATATTATAATGAGTCTAGATATCATATTCATTCATATCTCTCAAGATGTGACCCTCAGTAGGTCACCTTGAGCTAAAATAACAGCTTGAAGAGCTTCCTAAGATGTAATATGACATCTGACAATGTCCTGCCATTGACCTTGCCACAGGGTGAGAAATGTCGAAAAGAGGGAGGTAGAAAAGTAGTTACAGCACAGGCGGATCATCAAGCCACTGATAGGAGAGCTGGGCGCCAAAGTCACTGAAACACCCCCAACAAAAAAATGCTGCCTTAATTGATATACAACACAATGACCCAAGAGCAGTTTTCTGTTTTATAACTCCTTACTCAACAATAAAACTCCTCACCAGGAAAGAAAGTACAAGCTACATTTCCCAAATTGATATAATCTTTAGACAGAACCTAAAATACTCTCTTGTCACTCTTTCAAGTTTCAGAAATCTCATCCAGTAGTCCATTCCATGCAATCTGTATGTGAAGCATACACTGATAGCTTTATGCCAGGGGAGATCTGTCACCACCAATGTAATTAAGGAGAGTACAAACTACATCTCCCACATTGATATCATCTTCAGAGAGAATCTCAAATGCACTCATCACTGTTTCAAGTTTCTGAAATCTCTTCAAGTAGATTATTCTCATTTCTCTACAATATGTATATAAAAGTAAAAGTAAAGCTTGTACTGTATTTGAAAACATACACAGATTGATTTATACCTTGAGAGATCTGTTGCTACCAATATAATTAAAGGGCAAGAGACATACTCCACATGTAAACTAAAATGATTTTCTGTTTTATTCCTCCTCCCTAATACATTTTTTTACAATTAACTATAGCTCTCACATTGATACAGTTTTTGCAGAGAAGGGTAAGGCCTCATTTAGTTGGGCACTGTGTCCCATACAGTGTGAATCAGGTGCTTGTTTATGCAGCTGGAGCAGGGGCGGACTGACAACTCATGGGGCCCCCGGGCAATAAGGGATCATGGGGCCCCTGTGTCCTTGCCCAAACTCAAAAAAGCCTATGAAAAAGGTACCAGGGGCATCTCATGGAGCCCCCTACTTACCCTGGGCCCTCGGGCAGTGCCCGAGTTTCCAAATAGTTAGTCCGCCCCTGAGATGGAGAGAATTGGAGCTGTGTGCAGGTAGCCGATGTAACTTTATGGGGATACAACAGCTGTATGGACATCTGTATGTCTCCTCTTAATTTGACAGGCATGCAGAGGTGTGCGAGTGGTCTCAAATGCTCACCTGCCCCTGCATACCTGGCAAAGTAGATTAAATGGCTGTGTCAGTACACATGTGCAGAATTTGCAGGAACATGATAGTAACAAAGTGGCTGAATGGTGGAACCAAAGGCACCCAACACACCCAGAAGTATTATATACTGAAGATTCTAGCAGAGGGTGTAGTTTTGCAAGACAGTGAAGCTTGGATTTACCTATAGAGGGAATTGTGAGTATTATTATTGCCTTTGCAATTGATTTTTCTTTTTATATTTTTTCAGTGACATTGTCACTTTAAACTTCCCTCTAAAAGCAAACCCTAACACTTACTCTTTCATCAGCACTGAAACATAACTCCAAATGTAACTTTGATAATTAATACTTAACATTTAACCTACCCCTCCCGGTTTTTAAGAGGTTTGTGATGCTGGGGTTTAGGGTCATGTGACCGCACTGCGGTCACATGATCGTTACTTGCGGTCGGGAGCTTTCCAATCATGTGACCACCACGAGGAGCCGACAAATGTGCCTAGAGTGCACATCTGATGCACATCCTTTGTTTACATTGGGTATGCAAATATGCAGCCCTTTGGCACCAAGGCCCACTGCTGAGAGGCCGCATATTTTCGTGTACTCGCCACCAACAAGTTAAAGCTGAACTCCAGGCAAAGGGCTAAACACATAGATGAAGTATTGTACATATTTTAGAGCTGTTTAACCTGCCAATAGATTTGCATTTTTGTCCAGTCAGTCCAGGGATTTACACAGCTCTGTCCCAAAGCACAACCCTATCTATCAAGGGAGGTGACCTGATCAACCTCTGAGGTTGACTTACTTTCACTTACAGGAATCCTCTCTACCCCCATCCCAGGACTGGATAATAAAAGGACAAGCAACACACTGATGACCTCATCTCTCTGTCACTGCTGTCTACTCCTACCAGCATGTTGCTTGCACTACAAAACACCTAATTGACTTCATGTGCTGCTTCTCCCTCCCCCTTTCTAAACTTAGCTATATATTTGGTCATGTAAACTGCAGCAAGGTCGAAATTTAGGTACTTTCACAGCTTGCATTTAAAAAATAAATGTAATAATATAATAAAGGCCTGCACCCGCACTCACAAATTGGGAGTCGCTGTATCCCAGTTGAAATGGCTGGAACTGCCTGCTTCGGAGTGCATAGAACATCTATGCATCCCTGTGAGGGCAAACAAGACCCTCACCAAAGATGGTATCCAGATCTTTGTCATAAGATTTTCATTTCATCTCTACCAGATATTGCTGGTATTCATTGCTTTCCACATACAGCTGTTAAACTTTAAAAAATCTGTCTTCTAAATGTATCTTATTATTACCGAACAGAGTTTGCATGCTGTAATGCATGCTGTGTTGTCTATGGCCATGTATGTTTGGCATTCTAAGCCTGAGCTGGTCTTAGCATGTTTGGCCATACACACAGTACACGTTGACAAATACTGTATGACACCTATATTTAATCATATAATGGATGCAATGGGGTTGATTTAGTAAAGGCAAAACTTCACTTTACAAATTCACTTTGCAAGGAAATTTTCGTCAGAGCTTAGTGAATGAGTGAAATACAGCAAATATTTGAAGGCACATACAGTATATGTAATCATATAATGGATGCAAATATGACACATAAATGTAATCATATAATGGATGCAATGGGGTTGGTTTACCAAAGGCAAAAAATTCACTTTACAAAGGAAGTTTCACTTTGCAAGGGAATTCCCTCAGACCTTAGTGAATGAGTGAAGCTGCTCTGACTACCATCATCCAATCATGTGCAAGCTTTTTTAGCGGCCTCCTGCCCGCCATATAAGGTAATGACGGGCTCAAGGCGGTTCTCTCGGGACACAGCGATCCGAGAGGCTCTTTCTACCGATCAAAGGAAAGAGCCGAAGATGTCGGCTCGGTCAAGTGATCAGCTGTGTCCAATCACAGCTGATCGCATGTAAATAGGGAAATGCCAATCACGCAGACAGTGAGGAGTGGAGAGCCAGTAATTGGTAACCCTTAGAGGGGACATGTACACTGATCATCAGGGCACTGATGATCAGTGTGCCCTGATAATCAGTATAGCCCCAGCAGTGCCACCTGTTAGTGTCCATCAATGCCAGCTGTCAGTGCTCATCAATGCCACCTGCCAGTGCCCATCAGTGCCACATCAATGCCACATATCAGTGCCTACCAGTGCACATCAATGCCACATAACAGTGCCCATCTGAGCTGCCTTTCAGTGTCACCTATCAGTGCCAGTCAGTGCCACCTATCAATGCCAGTCAGTGCCACCTATCAGTGCTACCAATCAGTGCCAGTCAGTGCCGCCTATCAGTGCCAGTCAGTGCCACCTAACAGTGCCACCTAACAGTGCCAGTCAGTGTCACCTAACAGTGCCAGTCAGTACCGCCTATCAGTGCCAGTCAGTGCCACCTATCAGTGCCACCTATCAGTGCCATATATGAGTGCTGTCTTTTAGTGTCCTTCAGTGATGCCTGTCAAAGCCCATCAGTGCCACCTACCAGTGTCTCCTCATCTGTGCCTATCAGTGCCATCTATCAGTGCTCATCAGTGCAGCGTATCAGTGCCCATCAGTGCAGCCTCATTAGCACACATCAGTGAAGGAGAAAAATCACTTATTTACAAAATTTTATAACAAAAACTAAGAAAAAGGGGTTTTTTTTTTTTTTTCAAAATTTTCAGTTGTTTATGGTTTGCTTAGCAAAAAATAAAAAACCCAGAGGTGAATAAATACCACCAAAAGAAAGCTCTATCTGTCTCAAAAAAATGATAAAAAATTCATATGGGTACAGTGGTGCATGACCGCGCAATTGTCATTCAAAGTGTGACAGCGCTGAAAGCTGAAAATTGGCCTGGGCAGGAAGGGGGTATAAGTGGCAAGAGGTTAAATTATTGTTGGACATGATTGAGTATTCTTTTCAAAGGGAAATTTCTCCACATTCACTAACCCATGGGGGGAATTTCCAATGCAACTTCTTTCACAAAGTTAAGAGCCTATTTGTCTTTAATAAATCAACTCCATTGAATAGCAAATACAGTCATGCATTCATATCCACCAGCCAATGGAATTAGCTTCAGTCAAGACAAGAAATAGGCAGATTAAACCTCGGCTGGTAATAGAAGCTGGACCATTAAAAGGAGAACTAATATAATTCTCTGGAAAATAGGCACCTATCTGCTAGTTCTCGGTGTATGAAGACGTCTAATCTTTGTAAGAACATCACATGACGTATGCTCACCAGAGGCAATATTTTCATGCATAAAAATTCAAGTAATTTCTCTTTTAGCCTATGGGAAATTCACAGCTGAAAGGGGAGATAAGCTTTCTGTAATTTAATCTAACCTTCAGTGAGAGGATCACAATGTTTGCACTGAAAACATGATACTTTAATTAGCAATTAACTATGATATAATGGTAAATATTAAGGAATGGACAGTATATGTCTTACTTATGCTTTTAGTATTCTAGTTCTATGTTTTTACCACTCTAAAATATGTCACCATCCAATTCATCTTTTTTAAAATGACTTCAAATTTTTTTTGACCACCTTTAAAATATAAAATATCTGAGAAAACACAATACCTTTTATTAATTCTTGTCCATGTAATATTAATGTTGTCTTTCATTAGTTCCACTTTTCTGGTGTCATCAGCAGAATAGTCCCGCAGAAGCTTGAAGGCCAAATCATTTGCCACGTCAACATTTATCTGCCACTGACGAAGTTCTTTGGAAAATTGCTGTGGGTAGAAAGACATTTTTTGTTCAGTTATCAGATACCATTAAAGCGTTGAAAACACTAGGCTGAAAAAAAAACATTTGCATCAATAGTTTTTACAACAGACCTACTGGAACATTAGCAGGAAAAATGCAGAAAGACAGAAATATCGTCTGGTATCTTGAATCAAAGCATAACATATACAGCCTTTGCAGAGATGCTGAAAAATATTTTAGCGTTTTTCTTATAAAAATCACATTAATTATAGAAAAAGATAGCTGATTCTGGACATTATTCATAATTTTGTATATTGATTCTAGCTGTTGTTGAAATGCATCACAGCCATGAAGTCTTGCACATTCATTTTATTAATGTAACATGTATCCAAATGGTTGTGTAATTAGTGCCATCTGCTGGAGAGCAACTCTAATTGCATATAGTTACATTATCAATGCTGATGAAAGAACTGCATTTTAGGTCCCGGAATGTTAAATATCACTTTCACAATCACATAAAATAACAAATAATTGGTTAGCTTCAGATATACATCCCTTAAACAACAATGAATCATGTCCCAATAAATCATAATAATGATCAGTAGATGTAAGTAGAGTACAATAATGATCAGGAGGCGGTATTTGACATGATTCTGCAGAACAACTCCTAGAACCATTATTACGGGGGAACACTTATACAGCACGATAACAATTGTCATGGCGATGAATCTCCAAAACTGTAGGGAACTTCATGCATAGCACAATTAGAGTTCATAGACACAACTAATAGAAAGACAAGAAAAATAAAACTTCTGGTCTATGGCACCCAGAAAATTTGGCTTTTAGGTCTTCTTTTTGCTTTAAGTAAAAAAAAAACTATGTAACCTGGGTGATTGATACAGTCTAAAAATCAGACTTTCCTTATCATTTCCATCATTCAATTTGAAGCTATTCTTTAAAGTGGTTGTAAACCTGATACAAAATATGAGCAAAGCATAACCCTCTATAGTGTGTACTTCTCAATCCAGAACATTATGTGTTAATTCTGCATGTTGCCCTGTACCTGCATGTTGCCCTGTACCACTGCTATCAGCATGAATTACTTCTGACATGTTTTCCTGACACCAAGAGAAAAAATGGTGACAGGGGAGGGAGCTCTAGCAGATTGACTGCCTCAGCTCTGCTCATGTGTGGACTGGGGTATGTCTCTTCTCTTCAAACAGCTCTCCTCAGTGAGCTCTGCAGTGTGTAATTTAAGATCTCCATCCCCCTTTTTTCTAAACTCTCCTGACAAGCTTTTTAGATTCTGCACTTTGAACAGATGTAGAGAAGAGAAGACTGCAGATGAACAGGAAAACCTATGTAGGAGGATTTTTTTCATCTCTGTATACCACCTGATGCCAGTCACTTCACTGGGTTTATATGAGAGTTTACAACCACTTTAAGGATAGGAAAGGGTCAAAACCCTATCAGTTTTTTGCTTTGCCCCCTGTCTCCCATTGGGAGATTTCCCATCACTTCCTGTCCTATAGATACAGCAGTGAAGGAAGTGTGAGAAAATCTATTATTTTCAATGCAGAGAAACTGAACACAGTTTTTTTCTTTTCCCCACATTTTTCCATGTTTTTCTCCAGTCTTGCTATTTCTCACCATTTTACTTTTGATACTTGAACTTCCAATCTCAAATGTACAGTATCTAAATTTAATTAAAAAATAGTTACATTTAGCGGTGAAGCGGTGAAGCGGTTTAGCGGTGAAGCAGAGCACAATGCAGCAATTATATTACATATTTCAACATATCTCAGCTTTAAGCAGAACTCCAGCCAAAAATACCATGATAAAATACATTGCCAATTAACCCCTTCACTACTGTTGACAAAGGTCATATGGTAGAAAATAATCACTTCCAGCTGGCCAGGTAAGCATGCCTTACCTCGGCTGCATTCCTCCATCTGCAGTAACTGCAGGCTGCTTCAGTGACTATGAACATATAACAAAATAGTTTCCCAGATGCTGATGATTAAAAGAACAGCTGTGAGAAGTGGCTGACGAGCCGCGAGTCAAAGCAATCTGTAAAAAATGTGACCCCTATCCTCCGCTGCTACTGCTGCTCACACACACCATCCACACTGAGTCCTGAGTTTCTGCATTCAGTGTGGTTGCCGATTGTGTCCCTCATTTTCCCGCTTCTGTCCCCCACATCCTTATCTCCTCCAACCCCCAGGCTTCCCTCCATTGTTCCGGTCATATGATCCTCCATACGACTTTCCCTGCAGCTGCAGACAGCAAAATGATTACAAGATGATCTAGCAAATCCAGCTTTTGTTGTGAGATTTTCCCCACATCTTTTCCTTCATTAGATGTCCTCAGTTGGATGGTCAACATTGTTCAACTCACTTCTTCTGAGCCCAGGTCATCCTGGATCTTCCCCAGCCATTTCTATCTGCATGCTTCCTACAAGAACATTAACTGATTGGCTCCTTGTGCTGCTTCTTTTCACACTCCAATCCTGCTATACAGGGAGTGAAGAAGTCTGATGCCATGTCAAAATTCAGGTGCTTATACTGCTTCATGTAATGATGCAATAATGAATACAGAGCTGAATTAATGTGTGTATTTTTATACCTAGCAAGAGGTCAGCTTTAATGTAACTCATTAGGCTATAATTACAAAACTTATAAACATTAATACAAATTCTAATCATGTGGTTTTCCACACAACAGATGTCTTTCCTGTGAAGTTGGAACATCTAAGGAGCTCTTAGTTTGTAAGCTCTAATGAGCAGGGCCCTCTGATTCCTACTGTATTGGATTGGATTGCAATTGTACTGTCTTATGTTGGAAAGTGCTGAACAAACTGTGCTGTATAAATCCTGAATAATAATAATAAAAAAGAACAGCCATTATTTTTTTTACACATCATTATTATATTTTTTTTTCATATTTTGATAGGACCAATATGTAAATAGAGCAAAACAACTTGAAATGACCCTAGGTCCAATAAATTGGCAAATACATCCCAATTTTTAAACATTACACTATAAAAGTTAATCAGAAAGTGTGTGCAATCCTTATGTAGGTTGCCTCTGGTTGCTGCAGTTTTATCCAACTGCTTCCTCTTTTTTTCCACTTAAGGATCCGTTTACACTAATTGTGGGTGCTGGGTCCCCTCCTAGTGCAATATAGCTAATTTCTGTCTGTCATTTTTACTGGTGGTTGGCTAGAGGAACAATATACTGTACATATCTGATGTAGAAGCTGTTAGATGATTTCATCCACCACTGGTAGGGTTCTCAGATAGTAAGATGCTTTGGGGGAAGGGCTGATACAAATAATTCTGTGTTCTTTGTAGTGTGGTATGGAATATGGTTGACACTATATAAATGAATTAATTATTTCCCCCTCACCAACTGAGCCAGTTGTTTTCTTGTCATTAATTTGTAATCATGGATTTTATAAAGCCTAACATAACATATACTTATCTTGATACTAATCTACTTTTATTTTCAATAAAGAATGATTATAGTAATAGGTACAAAGAGGATAAGTTATGAGAATTAGAGCCATAATTAAAGATTCTAAGCACATTCTCTAGGGTCTCATTATGGCTAAATTTCCCAAATGGAATAACATTTACAGAGAACAACCAGCACAGCAAAACTATCAATTACGGAGATTCCATTGTGTTTTATTATAATGATTATATTAAAATGAAATGAAA